TCAATTTCTACTAAGAATCATACCTGGTAATTGGGAAAAAAGAAAACATGAGAGCACAATTTGGATGAAATCCTGTGTAACAGGCTTAAATGCATCCTTTTCCATTTTTGGCCAAAATGTTGAGATGTTGCACAATTTGATCCTATGTTGGTAATAATATTTGCTGTTTATATAACACCATTCCTGAGGAGCTAAATTAACTTCACAGGTATTGTATAATGAAACCTCACATCACAGGCTGGGAAAGGAAAGTGGGTACTTTCATTTTATTAAAGGGGAAAATAAGACAGGTGAAATGGCTTAGGAACATTTTCATAGCAGGCCATTGGAACCAAGCCTTCTAATTCCCTGTTTATCTATCTCTTTCTACAAAAATAAATTCCTTCGTATGACAATAGGTATTTATTTGCAAAATAACCACGAACAGGGACAGCCTCTAGTGGCTGATGGAATATAGTAAGGGACAGATTCCACCATCACCCCCTCCCCCTGCCTCCACTAAGTTTAGAATCTAAATAAGACAAACAAGACAAGACATGAAAACACAGAGAGTTGGAGTATAATTTGCACTGCTGAGAAGTAGTTGGCTCCTGGTTTCAATTTCTTCTCTTGAAGAAGTCGCATACATATTTCATCCCTTGCATATTTTGGCAGTGTATCCGGCTAAGAGCTATAAAGCTATTTAATTTGGTTTTTTGTAAAGCATTTTATGTCTGGGTAATGGATTTGTACATCAGTTGCAGCCTGTAACATGGCTAAGTGTTCTGATTGACAGAACACCCACGTTCAGACTTGTTTATTTTTTGATAAGGAAAATGCCAGCTAACTTAGTCCATATGTGCTCCTCAACCGGATGGAGCTTACTCACATGTAATGGATAGTCATTTAAAAATAAAATAACAAGAAGGAGAAGAACAGTAATCCATAGGAAAATTGGATTTCTCCTTCCCTCTTTTCACTTGAAAGAGATTTTTAAAAAGTCATTTACCTGCTACTTTTAAAGTTTATTTTAGAAATATTAACAGTCTCATCACTTAAACTTTCCATATCACGATACTTAATCTTATTTAAAGGTATAAATAAGGCAGACAGATAAATAGATCTATAGATGGGGAGGAGAGAAAGAGAGTGGGAGGGAGGGGAGAGAGAAAAAAGGGAGGGAGGAAAGAGAGAGAGAGAGATTAGCAAGAGAAGAAATACAGAGAAGTAAATATGTACATATTTTATCTACCTTGTAAATATATTAGAACTCTCTTAGGGTTCAGCTAAACCAGAATTGGATTGAAAATTTACTACACAGTTTCTTGTTTCTTAAATTTGGGAAGAAAATGGAAACATCTATTCTTAAGACTTCTACATGACACCTTCTGCATAACTGCCTTTGTTTAGAGTTTATTAGTCTGTCTTATAAAAACAAACAAACAAACAAAAAAACCCAACCCAAAACTCAGCATTGTTAAGAATTTAGAAGGCTGAGATTAGATTTTTCTTATTTACAAGTTAATGAGCAAGTTTGCCACATGAAGGCTGACGGAAGACAGGAGACTCCTGCGTCAGAGACAAAGGCTGCTATTACTCATGGCAAAGCAAATAGCATGAACTTTAAGTCTTATCAGATGCCTTGTGTTATAAGTTCCAAAGAGACAAAAGGGTTGGCCAAGTGAATGACGTGCACAGGTTTGTGCACAAGTTCATCACAGCTTGCATCACGGCTGAGGAATTTCTAGCTTAAGGAAACAGAATCTTCCATAATATATAGTGTATATGCCTGCATAAACTTTGCCTCTAAGAGAGAGCTTCTCTTTATTATACTGGATTGTAAGTGCATTGCCATTATCCAAGGCTTCTTGTTATTCAAACTCTTGAGAAGGTAGTTTACAAAAATAAAAAGTAAGAAAAAGAGAGTGTTTCTGCTTGCAAAAAAAAAAAAAAGGAGAAATTCAAGATACACAAGGAAAACTATCTTCTAGAAAGCATTTTCATGAATGTTTTATCTTATGGTGCAAATTGACATTTCTGTTTCTAGTATAAAAATTAGGGAGTTCTGCTCCACTAGGAGTTGTGGTTCAAGAGAAGTTGTACTGCTGATCCACTCCCACTCATCTCTCAGTTCAAATCCACCATCCGCTACCAATGCAGGAAAAAAATGGGCAGTCTCCTTCTGTGTGATTTACAATCTTACAAACCCAATAGTAGTGTCAGCTAGGAGCACATTCCAACTTAACAGAAATGAGAGAGACAGTGAGAGAGAGAGAGAGAGAGAGAGAAATATATGACAACTAGTTAGTAAAGATTATCTCTGGAATTACAAATCTGATACTTTACATTTTGAGAATAGAAAACAAAATTGTTATGAAGCATCATTATTAATATTTCATTATAAAAAATAAATGTACTAGACAGTACTCCAGCACATAGTAGATGCTCAAAAAATTACTAGGTGTTTGAATTCTGTGAAATATGACAACCTGGTCAACCTCAAATATTTTCACCATTTTTTAATTTTAATTAAATACCAAGAAGTGATGACTAAAATAAATTGTAATTTGGTATAGTTTAGTGAATAATATACAAGGAGTTCTTATGCTGTAGTTGAGTGGTTTGAGTTCATGGCGACATTTTAATAATGAAAAAAATGATGGTAACTAAAGTGATGATTTATTTTGCTTAGAATTTTGTGAGTTAGTCAAGAGATTTATAAGCATAATTTTAATTTTATCCTGAGTAATAGAGATATTATTAAACATCAGTTACAGAGTTAATGTTACTATAAATAACTTCACCTAGAAGAATAGGCTAATTCACCTATATTCTATATTATTGTGGTGGTGATAGTTGTTGAGTACCATCAAGTCAGAATGGACCCATAGTTGACCCTTCAGCAAGTTTTCAGAGACAGTTAATAACATGGAAGGCACTTTGCCCATACTTCTCCATAGTAAAAAGGTTACCACAATGAGGGGGCTCTGGTGGCCTAATGATAAGAAGCTGCACTGCTATCCCAAAAGCATTTCAGTTCAAATCTACCAGCTGCTTCAGGGAGGAGGATGCTCAATCTCCTTCCATGCAATTTACCTGCCTTGGAAAACTCACTGGCGGTTCAGCCATAGATTGGTTCCGACTTGATGGTACACAACAATAATAGTAATATAATGTGCATATTGTCATTTTCTTTCTATGAGATGAAAATAATTCATGTTTTGTAAAAGAGGGATAAACAAAAAATTAACTGATGTCAGCAGGTCCTTAAAATTATGTCTTTTAAAAATCTTTGGTACATCTAAAATATATTAAAACAGGCTATAAAATAAAATCCTCAGGGGAGGCTCTGAATGTTACCAGTAACGTGCCATTAAGTGTTGCTCTTTTCTATCTGCTCCAATCCCATCCCTCCCATCCCTGAGGTTCGGTGATTTAGTGGTAAGGCGTTTCACTGCCAACCCAAAGCACTGTAGTTGGAATCCACTAGCTGCTCTATGGGAGAAAATGAGAAATCGCCTCAAATGTGATTTACTGCCTCTGAAAACCCACTGGAGGATCAGCAATGAATCAGTTCTAACTCAACAGTAAACACCAACAAAAGAAACTTCCATCCAAAATCTAAACACCTGCTGCTGCTAACCCAAACCTGATGCTTCAAATCTACCAAGTGTCTACATAAGAGAAAGATGGGCAATTTCCTTGATTTGCAGCCTTTGAAAGCCTGCTTCAGGATCAGCCAGGAGTCAGTTCTGACTTAATAGCAGTGAGTTGAGTTGACTGAATATTAAGTGTTCTAACTACTTTCTACTCATCCATTGGTGAAAGAAGAAATCAGCTTTCACTAAATATTATGAGATGACTGAACACAGCAAATACAATCCTGGACAGATGAGAGTAACAGCAATTCATTTGCCACATAACGTTCACAGCTTGAAAGAGGATGACACTGCATAGCATGCGCAGAAGTTGCTCTTGGGCATAGAGTAGATCACAAGGGTTTGTGATGGACTGAAGGCTTTGTAGTGATGGATGGAAGGCTTTAAACAGCGAGGGCATGATGCATCCCCTGTTCCTGCTGGAAGAAGTGATTGGCTTGTTTGCATAATTTGGTGTACCAGCAGGGGATGGACGTTCAGTCAAGCATTAGACGGTTCCAGACAGTTCGAGTAGTAGGAGACATAAATGAGAGGAGAGCATTTCTGTCTCAGTTCAGGGAAGGGAGACTGTATGGTGAGATGAGGTTCACACAGTCAAACATTTGGGACCATCTGAGACTCAAATATGTCAATGCAACCCTTAAAATGAGGTGGATTGATTCAGTGACTGGGGTAATAGGGGTGGGTGTATCAGAGACAGTGCAATTGGCACAGGACAAAGCAGGGTTTAGGGCTGCTGTACATAGTGTCGCTATGAGTCGCAAGTGACTGATGGCACATAACAACAACAACAACAACAACCATGGGCAAGAGATGCGTCATCACTTCCATTCAATTTATTTCTTTTGAAAACCTGCTGGAGGGTCAGGTATAAGTTGGTTCTGACCTGATGACACATAACAACATCAACACCTATAATAAAGGAAGGGTAAATGTGCTCTTTCCATTTTCGTTTTTTAAGCTTTTCCACCTATGAATATCTTCCTTCTCTTTGTACATTATTAATTTATTTTTTGGTGGAATTGGGTGAAGGATATTCTTAGGCAAGACGACCGTCTTACTGTCCTTAGGGAGTGCTCCATTTGGCAGATCATTACGATGGCTAAAGGCATGTGTGCTGTTAAAGTGCTGACATTGGAGAAGAAGGTGCAGGGTGCTATTGCATCTCTGACTTGTTAGCGGTGACTTATTTCATTAGAGCACACACGTTTCTCTAAAGACTGTGATGATCTTGGAGAAAGTCAGATATGAAATAACAGATTGCCTTCCCATGCTTCAGTCCAGCTTTGAAATGTGTTGGCACTTCTGCATTCCAGTGTTTATTTCATGATATGAAATCTGTTCTTCCTACTCCCTGTGCAGAATGTGAAGGATGATGGGCAGCATGTGTGGCGACTCAAGCACTTTAACAAGCCTGCCTACTGTAACCTCTGCCTGAACATGCTGATTGGCGTGGGGAAGCAGGGTCTCTGCTGCTCCTGTGAGTATATGGGCCCTGCCCGGACATACGTCATCAAGCAGAGTGAGCAAAGGTTGATTTTTTGAGGTTGTCCCATTTATAGATAGAACTGTGAAAAATTATTCTTGCCTTCCCTCTCACTATGATCTATGTAACCTAAGTTTCTGAATGGTTAGATTACTCTATTTTTAACTGCAGTTTAGGAAAACTCTCTTCTTGGAAGACAGCTGAACACCTGTTCCTCTTCTTTAGTCATATTGTTTTCAGTATTTTAATTTATTCATGATCACCATTTCATCTAGGACCATCAAAGATATTTCCATTCATTTCTCATATGTATTAATTCTTTTTTAGTCTCCTTTTTCTGTGTTGGCACTTTAATCACATCTCGTCACTGTTGAAGTAGAATCAACTCATAGCTGCCTTCTGATGGGTTTTCAGAGACTGTAAAATTCATGGGAGGATATTGCCCGTTTTTTTTCTCTTCTGAACAGTTCTTAGATTTGAACTGCTTATTTTTTAGTGGGCAGTGCAATTACCTAACCAGTAGGACACCCAGATCTCTTATTTATATTGTCGTTGTTGCTGTTGTTATTTACCCCAAGATTGGAATCGACCCATAGCTGACCCTCAGAATTTTCAAAGAGTTTTCAGAAGCAATAAATCTCAAGACTGATATGCCTATAGGATATGCCAATCTTTCTGCTGGGGAGAAGCTGGTGGATTTGAACTGCATGTCTCTGGCTTGGCAGGACAACTACTTATCACTAAGCCAGCAGAGATTCTTATTCACCTAGATTTTCATAATGAGTCAATTCCTTCAAGTCTATTAAAAGATGTAAATCAATTTATTAGAATAGATTTACATGTAAATTAAGAATCCACAGGTAACGCAAGCTAATATTACATTCAAGCACAATTTTTTAATGTAATAATAAAGAAAATCTTCATATATGTTGAATGGCTATTAAAGTACAAACCATTGGCAGTTCTTAAATTGTGGCCATTCTCATAATTTTATGACACTTACCATTGAATTTTGTGTGTGTGCTATATATCCTATGCTGCCAACTCATTAATAAAAGTCTTTTAAACAACATTATTCTGAAAACTCTATGAACTTTGATAACTGTTGATAGTTATAGAAAGGCTTTAAGCCTTTTATTTATAGGGTTGCTATGAGTCATGCTAGACTCAATGGTAATGAACAACAACAAATATATTTTTAATTCTAATGCATATATGTCTATGAAACTTAATATTCCCTGATGTCATTACTAAAGCATGATATTGCATCCTTGTCTCTTAAATATTGAGTTTACCATTAATTCAGCAATTCTTCACTTATGTCCTGTTCTACTATATTACTGCTATTGTTTGTGTTATTTGGAATTTTTCAGAACTATTATCTGTCATTATACGTCATGTTTTAATGGCATGCATACATTTAATTTCTATGTGACAATTTTGATAGTTACGTGTAAAAAGAGCAAGGGTTATGTGGTAGGCACCATATCTGACCTTTACTAACTTCAACTGGGGGAAACTGTTCCTACCTGTAGCATCAGTAACATGAAACCAAATCCCATAAGATCAGACAGGTCCCTTTTTTTTCTCTTGCCTCCTTTTACTAATTTTAACACCAAAATCTTACTGCTTGACTGCGACCAAAATCCAATGTGATTGCTCACAGACCATGCAGAATCATACTAGGAGAGTTAAAAGGTTATAATTCAGATTAATAACAAAATACAGTCAAGTTCCCCGAATGTGCACGCAGGTACCTCAGCCTCAGCATGTGTCACTCTAAGTATTCTCTAGTTCTTAGTCCTGCCAATATTGACTCTTCTCCTCTGCTCTAAGTCCCATGTCACATCACTTCTCTAGTTCAGCCATTGCTGCTGTTGCCATCCCAAAGTGTGTCCTACATTTCACCAGGTTGGGAGAGGTCTCTCTTCTCTGGCTGGTCAAAAAATTTCATATATTCTGTTGAGGGAAATATTCCTGTTCTGTAGCTAAAGTGCTTCAGTTTATTGCTGAGACTAACCAATCCCCTTGTAGATTATTGAGACTGGCCAATTGCCTTCTGGATAAACCAACACACCCAACAGCATAGTTCTGCCCAGCTACATAGCAACATCAAATAAAGGCTAGAGAAGTCATATTGAAAGATAAACTCCATATTATGTGAAAATTGTCATATGTAAGTTTAGGGGAAGTTTCTTGTGGACATGTAAGAAAGACAAGTTCAAACTTTCAAACTTATTGCCTCTAGTCAGAACTGACCCACAGTGGAGTCTTCAGAAGGTTTTCAGATACTGTATATAACACGGGAGAAGATTGTCCATTTTTCTCCTATGGAGCAGCTGGGAGATTAGAAATCTCTGCCTTTGTGTTGTTAGCACAATGCCTTACCCACTAGGCCTCCTGAAAGTATTTTTCTTGCAATTCTTCAATAGGAAATATTCTGGTTTTAAAGGCCTTTCCTTTAATGAGAAAATAACTTTCTATGTATTGATAAACTGTATTAATAAACTCATGAAGTAAAATATTATTCTCAAATATGAAGACTAGTGTGATACAGGAAATGAGAATTTTCTTGCATATTTTATTGATTGATGTTAGGTACTACTGAGTAGACCTCATTTAGTGTGGTAAAAGCAATGCTTTTTATCATCACTGACAATTTGTAGAAGATGAAAAAAGTATGAATGAATGAGGGAAATAACAAACATAAGTATTTTAAAAAGTTTTATTATATTCTGTAGATTTACAAAGTGTTGTAATTACATGGAATGATAAGTATTTATATATTGGAGAAAATCATCAGTTCTTTCTAAAAGTTTATTTTTTAACTTACATATTTAAAAATATTAATTTTGGAACAATATTTTTATAAACATTCCTTTACATATGATTATACATTAAATGCACAAGCAGCTCATTTTGTAGTTTGAGTACACACAAAAAATGTGTATTTTGGTTAATGCGTTATATATATATGTAGCCACATATGTACTTGTATGTGCATATATGTATATTTATCCATAAATATGTTGCAGTGTTAGCTTAAGAGTTGGCTTTTCCACCCTTTACATTAGCCCTCTCTGGACTCCAGCTGCCTTAACTGTAGACTCATGGTCTTGCAAATCATTAACAGCTGTGGGACCAGGATATATAAGAGAGTGCTTCCCACTGTGAGCAGCAAAACTTGAGGGAGGCTAGAGTAACATCCTGGTGAGAGTTAGACCCTGATGGTGAAACCATGATGATGGTAGTGGAGAGCCTGTAGCATTGTTGTAGAGAAACTGTGGCAAAAAACCTCCGAGACTTCTTGTATTTGTGCTGGTCACAGTTGAAGTTTTGTGATTCTTAACAAGATGATTGAAGGAGAAACTGACTTATAAATGCTCTGAGACAAACCTTGCTTGAAGATTAAGGAAAGCAGGGGCTTCTTGAATTTGCATTGCTGAACTGAAACTAGGACTATTACTTGCTGTTAATCCAGCTTGGAACTGCTGGACTAAACCTGGACTTGTATTGTGAGATATTCTTTGCCTCTCTAATAACTCCCTAATAAAATTCACTCTTGGTACCACAAGTGTGAATAAAGTCTATATGAGTCAACAATAAATACTGAGCCTGGTGATGATTGGTGGAAATAGAGGTAAAAAGCATGGAGTGTGTTTGGCATGCCTGAACTAACAGCTATCTGTTTGCTTTTATGGATATTATTAATGGAGAAAGTTCCCTTTTATAAAGCAGGTAGAAGTCAGACTCAGCCACTGTCACCCTCATGGTGCATCAGCTCCTTGTGCACATTTATGTTCTTTTAATGTACACTGAAATCTGTAAGAGCCAATCCTCTAAAAGACTGTCTGTTTTTCTGGGTTTCTCAGATTTTCTGACAAAATGGCAGGGTACAGTTTAATTGATTTACTGCGCTGTTTTAGTGGAAAATATTTTTATTTTCCTTCTCTGCAAAGTTTCCATCTTACGCAGGTTCCAGCTTTCAAACATTTTCTCCATATACCATATGCTGTGTAGAAGCTGCATCTCCTCTTAATGGAATAGACCCATGATGGCCAGTGAGGGCTGGAACCTGGAATGCATGACAGAAAACTATTCTCTGGAAATAGACTAATCAGCCATTTAAGGTTTAGATAAATCAATAGACAACATAGCACAAACTCATGGGCTTTTATTCCCATGCCTGCCAGCTGCTCTCATGCCTATACTTTGTAAAATATAGATCTCTTCCTTCTAGCAAATGACACCAAGCCATTTGGCAGTCATCAATTTGTCTTTAATATTTTTGTCATCTGGGAATTATTGTGAAAAATTTGAGTGAGGACTGATTTAATTAAGCACTTCCTGCTATGCCATGATAGAGGAGCTTTGGTTTTTCACATGCATAATATTTCCTGTGCTAATTGGCCTTTTGTATTCCATGGTAAAAACAGTCGACTTGGACTATTCCTTGATGTGGCTGATTGGATTGATTAGGGAGCAGGGGATATGAAATGAGGTTCTGTTAATGTCATTCCTTCCCTATAAAATTGCAATCAGGACAAGGATTAGCTCTGAATTTGTGTACATGTTTCCTTTCAGTTTGCAAGTACACAGTCCACGAACGCTGTGTTGCTAGAGCGCCTCCCTCTTGCATCAAGACCTATGTGAAGTCCAAGAAAAACACCGATGTAAGTTAGCAGCCCTATGTGCCTTTCTCTGAGTGATACTTACAGACCCCTTTTCTCACCCCATTGTTGTTGTTCTATTCCAGGTTATGCACCACTACTGGGTTGAAGGCAACTGCCCAACCAAGTGCGACAAGTGCCACAAAACAGTCAAATGTTACCAGGGCCTGACGGGACTGCATTGTGTCTGGTGTCAGATCACAGTGAGTAACATTAAGGAAAAATAATGCCCCCTGTAATTCCCACTCTGAGAGACATCTACAGTAGACTTTCCTAAATTGAGACTAAGTAATATGAAAACATGGAGGCTTTTTTCCCCTCTGGTTTCTGAAAACATAGGAGCACAGTCAGATCTTTCCTCACATAATCAAGACTTCACAGCTGATGACAATCTGAAAAATTATTTCCTTGTATGGTTTCAAACTATGTTTCATGTCATTCTAATATCTGCTAGCAAGATACTTAGAAGCAAATTCTAGCGGCAGGCTGTGACAATGAGATGTTAAGTGGTTCAGCATAACTCTCTTTCTACCATACAAGCCCATTTCAGTATAATTCTGTTTTATAAATCATGGATTTATTTTAAATTCATAATCTGCGGGTTCTGAAAGTTTAAAATACTGAATATAATCTAAAAATTTAATTCTACAGTGAAGACACACTATCCAAATGAAACAAAGAAAAGTATCCTTGACTATGTAATTTGGTTGAGACATAAATAGGATTCATGATTCAGGTCTGAGTCTGTCCCAGAACTAATTTTACCACCCCTCTTCCCTTCCCCACCTGCCCCTGCCTTGTTTCATCAGGTAAATAATAAATTAGGTAATAACAGATAAAAATGTAAACTCTAGCTGGAAATGAATGTTGAACATACCATGGACTGACAGGAGAACAAACAGGTTCATCCTAAAGAGGGTGAAGCCAGGCTGTTCCTTGGAGGCAAGGATTCTGAGGCTTCGTATGACATACTTTGGGCATATAGCAAGGAGGGACCGGTCCTTGGAGAGGGACATCATGCTTAGAAGGGTGGAGGGACAGATAAAGAGAGGAAGACCCTCGATGAGATGGATTGATTCAGTGGCTGCGATAATGAGGGTAGATGTGTCAGAGACAGTAAAGTTGGCACAGGATAGAGTAGGTTTCAGGACTGTTGTAGATAGGATTGCTATGAGTTGCAAGTGACTTCATTACATGTAACAACAACAGTAGCATTGATAATTAAGAAAAAAGGGATAAACTTATATGTTTGGGGAAACTTTAGAACTCAACGTAGTTTGAATGCTTGTCAAAGCCTGCCTAACATGACTTTCAGAATGAATAAAATTGTTAGTTGATCCTGCCAGTACTTCATTTTTAATTTCTAGAAAACAATTAGAATGCCCATTTTCAAGGAGAGTGCCTTTTGATACTGTATTGTGGAAAAAAAAAAAACCCAGACTAGATCATAAGGTTTTGGGTCAGTGTAGATTTTTTTCTAACTAACACTTAAGTTTTCTCTTGAAAGGAGAGAAAGTTTTTGCTTTTATCAAAATAAAATATTAGGAGTTGCTGAATCTGTTAGGCAAATTCAGACATTTTGCTGTTGTGTACTCCAAACACCAGACTTTTTAAACATTATGTTCTTAAGAGCATATATATTGTTGTTGTTATGGTTATATGCCATCTCAAAAGCATAATGAAAAAAACATAGTTGTATTTTAAAGTTATGCTTAAGTAATTAAAAAAACAACACATTTTCTTTACTCAATTGTTAACTATTACTTTGTTAAATTATATTTACATTTAAAATTTTTTCAATTATGCAAAATCTTATTTTTTATAAATGTTTAGTTATTAAAATTAAAAGTGTAACAATAATTAAAACTACAGATAAGAAGTGTTCTAACATAGTGAGTTCTCAATTCCAAGAGAATCACAAATATCTCATTTTCAAAACTAAAGCACACTTTTGAAAATAGTATTTTTAAAAAACCCTAGTATTTACAAAATACTTATGTTGTTTCAGATCTTGTAGAAACCTGGTTTTAGTATTTATCCCATTTATTCCATTTTCAAATGTTGGTAAGTACCAATGAGTTGAAACTGTCTCGTAGTTGATCCTCCAGTGAGTTGGCTCGAAATACTTTAAATTTCATATACATTTAAATTAATAATATTTTATTTAGATTAATTTAGATTTATTCAGATTAATAGATTTATTTCCTTCTTACATTTAAAATTATTTTTTATTTTTTTACAAATTTCAGGTATAATATCTTAAGCTTATATTCTATTCTTTTATTGTATTTTAATCTAAAATGAAGTTTTTATTTTATACAGGTTTACTTTTAAAAGTTCATATACACTGTTTTTTACACTGGATCTTTCCTTTTTCCTTTTCTTACCCTTCCTCCCCCCATCAAAATGTGTGGCCCTAAAATTAACCATGATTAATCACTCCTTGCCCTCTCCCCCATGCTTCCTCCTTCCTCTCCTTTGGTCCTCATACACATTCTATACCAATGCTCTTATGCAGTATTCATCTTATTTATTTATTGGTGTCAATTCAATCATTCATATACATTTGTTTTGGAATTTTAATTACAATTGATCATTGCCACTTATTACAACATATTATCACATTCTCACTGTTCCTTGCTTATCCTTCTACCTTACTTCTCCATCTGATAATTTCTGCTCCCCTTTTATTCCTTTCCCGTCACCCCGTGTGGAAACCTCTCTTTAGCTTTTTTTCAGTCAATCAAATAGGTATATCTTGTTATATCACTAATTACAATAGATACAATGTTTGATTATTCATTCCACATTATTATTCCCTTAACCCAATAAAGTGTTAATTGTCTACTTATTTTCTACTCTTCCCTTCCCTATAATCCCACCA